ATTTGGGAAAAAAATAATTATAGAAAGGGGGAAAAGGAAAATATAAATTTGTAGATTAGAAACTAAATAGTGGGGGATTTTTTTTTATTTATGTTTAAGGAGGTAGTGGAAATAATTCGGAATACTTGGGTAATACTTGTACTAGAGTGTAGAAATAGAGAATGAAAATAATAACACTGTGCAACAAAAAAAAAAATACAATTTGTCATTACTAGAATCCTTAAAAGGCATAAATATTGTAACTGAAAATTTTTTCAAAAAAAAAACTAAACTCCAAAAAAAATATTTTTTCTTAAGTAAATTAAAAAAAAACAATTAAACTTTGTAATTTAAATTTGGAAAATGTTAGTTAAAATTCGATATTTTCCAAATAAGATATTTTTTTTATATATTTTTTTATTATATAAAATATATATTTTCCTTAAATTTCTATTTTTTGAAACATTTATATTTAAAACTTAATTTTATAATATTTTTATTTTAAAAAATTCAGAAAAATATATTTTTTTTAATTACCATACCTAAAGGTAATTAAAAAAATATATATATTCTCTGATTTTTTTTTTTTTAAATAAAAATATTAGAATATAAAGGTTCAAAAAAATATATAATTTTTTTTTTAAAGAAAATATATATTTGTTATAGTAAAAAAATATATATAAAAGTATCTTATTTGAAAAAAAATATATATCGAATTTTACCAAAATATTGTGAATTTAATTTATTTATTTTGAATCTATTTATTAAAATTAAAAACAAATAATTGCATTAATTACAAAAAAATTGCAAAATTTTAAATTTGAAAAATTTAGGTTTTCCGATAATTGCAAATGGGAAAATGTTGAATTTCGAATTTTATTAAAATATAGTGAATTTATTTATTTTGAATCTATTTATGAAAATTAAGAACAATTAATTAAATTAATTAAAAAATAGCAAAACTTTAAATTTGAAAAAAAATTAAGTTTTCAGATAATCGCAAATGGGAAAATGTTGAATTTCCTTTAAATTTTAAGAGCATTTTTTTTTTAAATATAAAAAAATATGGAAAAAAGTCGAAATATGGAAACATAATATTTTAAGTTTGAAACCCTAAAAAATATAAAATTTTTAAATTTGATTTTTTTATTTAAATTTTCTTTATTTATTTTTGTTTTTAATTTTAAAAGTATAAATTCAAAAAAAGAAAATTTTAAAGATGTTCTTTAATATGGAAAATATATATATTATAAGCCAGGGTGCGAAGAATGATTCAAATACGTTCTTTCTTAATACGGGCGAGAATGGTTTTTTTTCGAAAATATATATATTATTAAAATTTCGCTTCAAGCGTCGTCGATTCATTCATTCGCAAGCATTCTTTGCTGAACAGGGTGCGAAGAGTGATTCAAATGCGTTCTTTCTTACGAATGCTCACGCACGATAATTCGAATGTTTTCAATTTATTGCATTCGCCAGAATTCGGGAATGTTTGTTTTCATTCGTAAGAGAATGTCAGAAAGAATTTCAAACACCAAATGAAACGAACGATCGTTGTTGTGTGTTCTCATTCGTTTGTTATGTGTGTGCGAACATTCATTGGTGAATGCTCGTTTGGTAAAGAATTTATCGCCATAAATTCATTCGAAAAATGAGCAGCACGAAACGAATCATTGAATCATTTGAATCATTGGCGAACGAATTTTTGTGCACCCTGATTATAAGTTTGAAAACATGAATTGGGAAATTTCAAAATTTATTTTTTTGAAAAAAAAAAATCTAGAATTTCCCATTTTATGTTAAAAGTTCAAATTCAGAATAAGAAAATTTTTAAGATGTTCTTTAATTAAAAACTTAAGATTTTACAAATAATCATTTTTTTTTTTTAATTTAAAATTGAATCGAGTAAGGTCTTATTGTTTCAAAAAAAAGTAAGACTTAAAAAAAATATTTGAACATATTGGAAATTTTTGAAAATATATTTTTTTTAATATTATAATCAATTAAGAATATATTATTCTCTGTTCAAATATTTTTATTTTAAGTTTTGATATTTCTTTACATTTTTTTAAATGCAAAAAAAAAAATCAATATTTCATAAGTTCCAAAATATTTTTTTTTTATTTTGAATTTTCATAAAAAATGTTAAAAATTAAAATTTAAAATTTTTCCATTTTTCAGCTTTTTAATTTTTAATAAAATGGAAAAATTACCCAACTATGAAATATAAATGTTGCAGAGTAGAAAAAATTTAAATGCTTCTAAATTTTTAAAAATAAAAATTTTTCAACTTTCAACATTTTTTTTTTTTAATATTTGTTTTTAAACTTTCATAAAATGCAACAAAAATATCAAAAATTTCCAAAAAAAAAAAAAATTATTAAAAAAAAATATTTTTTTTGGAAAAAAAACTTTTTTTGAAAAAATAAATATTTTGGAAATTATTGTATTTTAATATTGTAAAATATAATTAATTGAAGATATGTAATTTCGTAATATTTTTTTCATATCAAAATGTAAGGCCCAATAAGTATTTAAAAATAATATCAAAAGTTTTGAGATTTTTCTACCAATTTCTATTTCTTGTTTTGTTCTACACATTTTCCCGACGTTCATTATATTTTCTTTTGTTGCACAGTGTCTTAAAAAAAAAAAAAGATACATATAAATTGTTATTATATTAAATTCTAAAATAAATTGTTTTCTATTTTTTGTAATATATATTTTTTTTTATAATAAAAAAGGCATTTCAATATAAGTTCGTTTATGGTTTTGGTATTTTCGCAACGGATTTTTTTCTTTTGTCATACAACATATTTTTTTACTTTTTTTCTATTTATCTAATATAATTATATATGTGTGTATAGTATTACAATTGTAACAATTGTTTTTGATTTGTGGTATTTTTTCGAAATATTCGTAACAATTTATTTAGTATTTTTTTATTAATATTTTTTCTAATAAGATTTGATCATAGATTGAATACGGCCCAATAAAATATTTTTCAAATGTAAAGCAAGGAAGTCATGGTGGAAATAATTCTCAAAAAGGGAATTTAAAAAAATTAATTTATTAGATTTTTTTCTTTTGTAAATTGTAAATGGAGATTCCAAAAAAAAAAAAAAAAAAAATCACATCATTGAAAAGGGTTACCAATTTTAGGGGGGAAATTACGGAATTTTTTGAAATTTGCATTCTTTGCATTTTTTTTAAATTTTTTTCAGATTTTTTTTCATAAAAAATTGGAAAATTTTTTAATAAATTATAGATGGCATTTTTTGTGAAATCCTTTTTAATTTTGTTGTTGGATTTTTTTTTCTTAAAAATTTTTGTGAAATTTTTTCTTAACAATTTTTTTGAAATTTGTATTTTTTATATTTTTTTGAAACATTTTTTTCAGATTTTTTTTCTTAAATTTTTTTTTGAAAAAATTTTTTTCTTAAAGTGTTGGGAATTTTTTTCTTAAAAATTTGGACATTTTTTTCTTAAAAAAAAATTGGGAAAAAATTGTTTCTTAACAAAATTATAAAAAATTGAAAATTTTTCTTAAAAAAAGCAAGCAAGTCATGGTGGAAATAATTGGGAATTTTTTTTTAAATTTTTCTTTTTTTCTTCCAAAAAAATTAGGGAAAAAAATTTTTTGAAATTTGTATTCTTTAATTTTTTTCAGATTTCTTTCTTAAAAAAATTGGAAAATTTTTTTAATAAATATATGGCAATTTTTTTTTGTTGTTGCATTTTTTCTTAAACATTTTGGAAAAAAATTCTTAAAAATTTTGGGAAAAAATTTTTTCTTAAAAATTTTGGAAATTTTTTCCTAAAATTTGGAAATTTATTTTCTCAAAAAAAATTTCGAAATTTGTTTCTTAAAAAAAAAAATTAATTAAAATTGGAAATTTTTTTCTTAAAAAATATATGCAATTTTTCTTTAATGTTGGTAATTTTTTCTTAAAAATTGTTTTTGTAAATATTGACTCCACATGAAAATAATTCCAAAAGGGAAATTATTTTCCAAAAAACAAGATTCATCTCTTTAAGATTTTTTTCTTTTTGGAATATAACCTCAAAATTCTTTGATTAAATTGGGAAAGATTAAAAATTTTAATATTTTTTGGAATATAACCTGAAAAATATAACCTCAACCTTCTTGATTAAAGTGGAAAAGGTTCAAATTTTTAAAAATATTTTTTTTTTTTTTTTGAATATAACCTCAAAAATTGCTTGCTTTACATTTGAACAATATTTAGGTCTGTGAGGGGTGTATATATTGTAAGTATGTGTGTGTGATTATGATAGGGGTTTATTTTAGGATAGTTTAAACAGTTAGGTATCAGTTTTATTTTTTATTATTATAATTTTTTTTTTATATTTTTCGAAGGGGATTGCTTTCGAAGCACGACTCTCGTTTTGCACCTGCTGCAGAGGCTTGCAATAGTTTTGTTGTAGTATTTTGTATTCGTATTTATTTTTCTTAAATTTTGTATTCGTTTCATTTTTTAATAGGGATTTTTTGTCTTCATCATCATCGTGTTAGCCATCTAAATATACTTAAAAAAATTTTACTCATAAACATAATTTTAAATTTTTATTAAACACTCTTTTTCTTTTTGTGGATTTTTTTTTTAATAATTTAATAATTTTTTTCGTATTGTATAATTTTTCTTATTTCCTTCCTAGACTAGTTTAGTAATAGTAATAATAATAATAATAGTTTTGTTGTTGTTGTTGGTTGTTTAGGTTGTGTATTAATATTATAGTATTATTAGCAAGATAGAGTATAGAGTATATGTAGGGGTGTGTGTGTGATTTTTTTAGTTTAGTTTTCTTTTTTTCTTGAAATAGTTAGTAGAACTCTTTTAAAGATTTTTTGTTTTTTGCAAATAATTTAGAGGGTACTATTTTGTAATTTTTAACTATTCAAAAAATATATATGCAGCTTTATGTCTTTTGTTTTTATCTTTCATTAAATATAAAGCTTCTTCTTACTTCCTGTTGTTGTTGTGGTTTTCTTTAAAGCAAAATTAGCTGTCCTGTTGCAGAAGTTCTGGTTGTGGTTCCTGTTTTTGTTTGCTACTATTTGCTTCCAGAATTTCAATGCCATCGATCAGAGTCACACCACCAACCTCCACATCATTGGCGGCGGCAGCAGGTGATCCTGTGGCGGCCGCAGCCGCCATAGCTTCACGATTGCGACGCTTCATTTCTTGCAATTTTTTACGTTGAGCCTCACGTTTTAGTGCGGCAGCTGAGGGTGTGGAATTAACACTACCACTGCCGCCACCATTTGCCATGGGCGTATTTGTACGCGATTTTAAAGTCTTTGTGGGTTTGGGTGTCCTCAGGACATTACTACTGCTGCTGCCGGCATTTGCTGTTAACAGATTGGCTGGTTTCTGGAGGAGAAAAACAAAAAAAAAATATTTGAATTTATTTATAACAAAAATCATTGAGCGTTGGAACCCACCTTCCAATCATTGGCCTTCAAAATTTCAATTTCCTTAAATATCGAATCGATATGATCGACTTGTAAATAAACCATATCCCAGAAACCTTGTAAATCATCGACAGTGGTTGGGAATTGATCTTCGGGAGCGCTGTTCAAATTGTTGTGACACAAACCTGGAGGAAAATAAGAAAAAATTGAATTAATTGAGATTATTTTGGAGGATTTCAAATACTCACCTTCAAATTGTTTCATTTTTTGGGATACTAAGAGGCGTGCTTTACCAGAAGCGGAACGCAATAAACCCATTGTGTCTTCGGTAATATCGGGATTACTCTAGAAAGATAAGAAGATTTGCATTTTTAAAAAATATTTTTTCAAGGCGTGGGTTTAAAAAAAAGTTCAAGGCGTGGATTATTTAAAAAAAATATTTTTTCCAAGGCCTGAAGTATATAAAAAATATTTTTTTCAAGCCGTGAATTATTTAAAAAATATTTTTTTCAAGGCGTGGATTATTTAAAAAAATATTTTTTCAAGGCGTGGATTATTTAAAAAAATATTTTTTCGAAGCGTGGATTATTTAAAAAAAATTGTTTTCAAGGCGTGGATTATTTAAAAAAATATTTTTTTCAAGGCGTGGATTATTTAAAAAAATATTTTTTTCAAGGCGTGGATTATTTAAAAAAATATTTTTTTCAAGGCGTGGATTATTTAAAAAAATATTTTTTTCAAGGCGTGGATTATTTAAAAAAATTGTTTTCAAGGCGTGGATTATTTAAAAAAAAATTGTTTTCAAGGCGTGGATTATTTAAAAAAATATTTTTTTCAAGGCGTGGATTAATTAAAAAATATATTTTTTTCAAGGCGTGGATTATTTAAAAAAATATTTTTTTCAAGGCGTGGATTAATTAAAAAAAAATATTTTTTTCAAGGCGTGGATTATTTAAAAAAATATTTTTTTCAAGGCGTGGATTAATTAAAAAATATATTTTTTTCAAGGCGTGGATTATTTAAAAAAATATTTTTTTCAAGGCGTGGATTATTTAAAAAAAAATATTTTTTTCAAGGCGTGGATTATTTAAAAAAATATTTTTTTCAAGGCGTGGATTATTTAAAAAAATATTTTTTTCATTATTTAAAAAAAATATTTTTTCCAAGGCCTGAAGTATATAAAAAATAAAATTTCAAGGCGTGAATTATTTAAAAAAATTTTTTTCAAGGCGTGGATTATTTAAAAAAATATTTTTTCAAGGCGTGGATTATTTAAAAAAATATTTTTTCGAAGCGTGGATTATTTAAAAAAAATTGTTTTCAAGGCGTGGATTATTTAAAAAAATATTTTTTTCAAGGCGTGGATTAATTAAAAAAAAAAATATTTTTTTCAAGGCGTGGATTATTTAAAAAAATATTTTTTTCAAGGCGTGGATTATTTAAAAAAAATTAAGGCGTGGATTATTTAAAAAAAATTAAGGCGTGGATTATTTAAAAAAAATTAAGGCGTGGATTATTTAAAAAAAAATTAAGGCGTGGATTATTTAAAAAAATATATTTTTTCAAGGTCCTCTAGGAATTAGGAATTTAGGAATTTTTTAATTAAATTTTTTATGGTCCGCCATGACACAGGCCGTGGATTTTCAAAAAAATATATATTTTTTATTTTTTTTTTATTCCGTGAAGAGAAGTTAAAATTATTTTTAAGGGTCTTAAATTTGGAACTCACCGCCAATGCATCCATATATTTCTCAGCCACTGCTGCCAATTCCAATAAACGATTCTGTTCCGATTTCAATTGTCTAAGGAAGAAATGGGCATCCTTGGCTGACGAGCCATTGCTAGTTGTCGGCTCAGTGGACGACACAGTCTCATTTGTTGTAATATGGGAAATGGGAGTTATTACCAATAGCTCCTCGGAAGATTTGACATGAGGTGAGGCTAATGATGATGACAGGGGTGGTGGAGTCTGTAACAATTCTGCCGTGGCTTGGTCATCTACTAATTGCACTTTACGATCAACTTCATCGCTACCGATTGAACCTGCAGCGGTCGATGACGAAGAATTTAAATTTTGTGACTTTAGAAGATCGGGATTGGTAGTATTGGGATTATGATGATGGTGATTATTTGTTGTTGTTGTGTTTGTGGTGATGGGGCTGCTGCTGTTGTTGGTTGTTGTGGTGGTGGAAGTGATAATTTCCGATTTGCTTGTAATGCCATTGCTTGTGCTGTAATTTTGTGTTTTATTTACTGTCATGGTTGCTGTTGTCGCTGTGTTGGAGTTGATTTTATTATTGGCAGCTGTCAGATCCCTACCGGGGGAAGTCCTAGAGAAATTCCTTTTAGGCGACACTATAGGCAACTGGGCCCTAAATTCCTGCGATAAATGTCTCAGACATGGTAGATCGATGTTGTTATTTTCGGAATTTAAATTCTCTGCGCCTGCCGATGCGGATGATGACAAACTGGAGGCGGGTATGGAAGGTTTACCATTCGATGATAACTTCTCACGAAATTTGTTGTAATCTTTACTGGGTGACAGTTCTTGGAATTTCCTGACCAACTCCGAAGTGGCTCCACCACCACCATTTTCACTATTCAATGACCGATTCAAACGTTGTGGTGATTCTCGTATCTTCTTTGGGCTATAGAAACCCTGAGCTAGAGCACCTGGCCCATAGAGTCTTTCCACACGTTGTTGTATAAAACTGCGGGTAACTGTGCTACCCCCACCATTGCCAATATCATCACCCACACTTAAATTATGGAGACTGGTATCTGTGGCACCATTCTGTGAATGGTTATTGTTCTCAATGATGGTGTATTTGCTGCCAATGGTGGTCATACCAACACCAACACCGCCACCATTTGTGGCCATGTGCGGCAAATGATGATGCGGGTGGTGGTGGTGATGCGGCGAGGTGACATTTACATTCGGCATGGCCAATAATACGGGTGGTGCCAGCGAATTACTCTTCTTGCAATACTGTAAACTAGTCGACGAGGGTCGTATGGGCGATACTTCGCGTGATTTATTTATGTCTTGTCGTATTTTCGAATCGTATGTGGTTATATTCGAATAGCCATTAACACAACAGGCCAAATTTAGATAGCTCGGTTTCTTGTCGTATGTGTCTGCGGGGGTTTGTGGCGATGCTAAGTGAGGCGGATTTGTCACCGTGCCTCGACTACTGATACTTATGTTGCTGTTGTTACTCGGATTGTGCGTTTCCACCAGCACCGTGTTCAGATTATTATTCACTGTCGCTGTGGGCTGTTGGGTAGTCGTCGTATTACTTGCGGTTGCTGTCGGTGTTGTTGTCAGAGCAATGCAGACTTGACCCGTCACGGGATCCACATAGGCTGTTGTATTGTTTTTAACGGTCTGTACGGAACAGCGTTCGCGTATGTTGGCGGTAAATTCTCGTGTTATATCCTTGATGGAAATGGGTGTGGGAAAATTTAAACTGTCACTAGTATCTGTGTTGAGGGAAAAAAAATGTGATTAAATTTTTAGAACTTTTAAATTGGGGTTGGAAAAAATTGGAAAATTTATTTTATAATGCCTTCCACAATGTTCCGAAGGACTGTAACCTTGGGTGAGATATGCCTTAATCATAGGGATTGGGGTATTTTTTGAGAAAAGTGCATTGGTAAAAATAATAATTAATTTCCCCACCAAAAATTGTCAATATTGGTCCAAGTTACGAGGTAGCTCTCATATAACGGCACCTCTTGAATTTCAGTATTTTAGGGAGTTTGGTCACGTTTTTCGTCGGAATTGTTTGCAATTTGATATTTTGGATTGTAATTGGGTAGAAAATCTCCCCACAAAAAACTATCAATATTGATCGATTTTTTTTTTTAGCCTCCATATTACCTCCCAAATTTCAATATTTTCTTGAATTTGGATACGCTTTTCGTCGGAATTTTTTGCAATTTGGTACTTTGGATTTGAATTGGGTAGAAAATCTCCCCATCAAAAATTATCAATATTGATCGACTTTTAAGGGTAGCCTCTATATTAGAGTACCACCCATTATTCGGAATTTTGGAGATTTTTGGACAGGTTTTTCAATCAAATTGGCTCTAATTTAATATTTTGGGTTCTCAGCGAGTGTTAAACCTCCCTACCCAAAAACTATCAATATTGGTTTATTTTTTTTTTATTTTTTTTTTTTTTTTTGGGGGGGGTAGCACCCATTGAAAGGTACCCCCAATTTTTTTGAGGATTTCAGAAACTTTCTTCCAATTTGAATTGGTTCTAATTTGATATTTTGGGTTCTCAGCGAGTTTTTATTCTTCCTAACAAAAATTATCAATATTGGTTAACTTCAGCTCCGATTTCAGGGGTAGCGCTCATTTAACTGTACCACCAATTTTCCGGGGGTGTTCAGGATTTCAGAAATTTTTCTTCAATCGAATTGCCTGTAATTTGATATTTTGGGTTCGCAGTGAGTGTTTAACTCTTCCTACCAAAAATGATCAATATTGGTTAACTTTTGTTCCGATTTCAGGGTAGCGCCCATTTCACTGTACCCCAATTTTCGAGGTTTCAGAAACTTTTCTTCAATCGAATTGCCTGTAATTTGATATTTTGTATTCTCGGTGGTTCCTACCAAAAATTAACAACATTGGTCCACGTGTTGATGTAGCCCTAATATAACGGTACCTCCCAAATTATGGCATTTTGGCAATTTCAGGAACATTCTTTAATCGAATTGGCTCTAATTAGATTATTTTTGTTCTCAGTGGGCGCCAAATAATCATATTAACAAGTAAAAAGTGTCAATCGGTGTTGCATTTTAAAAATTATTGACCATTTGTGAGGGATTTACCAGAAGGAGTGGACTACTGGGTCCCATCTTCAAACTTGATCTAGGCTTGGATAAAAGTAATATGTTGTGCAAAGTTTGGTTCAAATCGGACGTTCCATTAGCCTGATATTGCATTAATAAATATTGAAAATTTTCACCATTTGTTGGGGAGGTCCTAGAAGGAGAGGACCAATAGGTCCCATCTTCGAACTTGTGCTAGACTTGGTAAAGATAATAGGTTGCGCAAAGTCTGGTTCTTATTGGATATGGGTCCCATCTTCAAACTTGATCTAGGCTTGGGTAACGGTAATACTGATATTGGATTAATAAATATTGGAAATTTTGACTCTCTGTGGGGGAGGTACCAGAAAGAGTGGACCAATGGGTCACATTTTTAAACTTGATCTAGGTTTGGTAAAGCTAATAGGTTGTGCAAAGTTTAGTTCAAATCGGGCGTTCCATTAGCCTGATATTGGATTTATAAATATTGGAAATTTTGACTCTCTGTGGTTGAGGTACCAGAAAGAGTGGACCAATGGGTCACATTTTCAAACTTGATCTAGGTTTGGTAAAGATAATATGTTGTGCAAAGTTTGTTTCAAATCGGACGTTCTATTAGCCTAATATTCGATTAATAAATATTGGAAATTTTGACTCTCTGTGGGGGAGGTACCAGAAAGAGTGGACCAATGGGTCCCATTTGTGTAAATCGACATGTGTAAATCGACTTCAAATTTTCTGAAACGGAGTTGGTCCAAAGAAACATGGGGTATTTCGATGAGGAACATTTTCACCGTATCAAAGTGTATATACCCTCATTAGCCATAAAGCTGAGGTTATAAAAATTATCAATATCGTTCCACATTTTGGTGTAGCCCCAATATAGCGGTACCCTCAATATTCGGAATTTTGATTAGCCGATTTATGATTCTGATCGATGGCAATAGAAAATTATATCATTCCAAGACTTTGGTGGTCCCAAGAATTTCCTCGCAGAACAAATTTTTAAGGCCATGGTAGTAGTCGAGGTCATAGTCAATCTGATTGTCTGTAGTTTTTTTATATCGTTTTCTCCTGTCAGCAAATATACTATATGACATAGCGTCCATATTGATACCCTGACCCTAAAAATAACTCTTATTTTGTATTTTGTAAGTCTCGGTAAATTGAATCTGGTTCTTTGAGGTTCATAGTATCGTGAGTCAACGGTATTATCCCAGTTCCAGCGGATATCCTTTGTATGTTTAGTTAAACTTTATTTGTTTTTTTTCACTGACGCCTAAAAGTATGCAATGAAATTAATGGCACTAAAAATCACAGAAGAGATTATTATTACAGAATTTTATTATATTCTAATATTTGATAAAATCTGTGGCACTAGAGCACTAACGTCCAAATCTAACCTTAATAATTCGGTATCACTTAAATCGGAATAATTGGTAAATAATTTAATAATTATTCCGATTAAAATTATACGAGTTTTTAAGGTTAGATTTGGACATTTTTGGACATATTCGAATATTATTTATTATATATATATTATTTATATTATTATAATATTCCGATATTATTATCGAATTTTTCACTTATTTACCAAAAATACACTTTTCTCAGTAAACACCCAACTCAATCGAAGAACTATCACCTTTAAAATAAAAAAAAAGACAAAATCGAAAAAAAAACTTGACCAAAAAAAAAAAAGAAAACTTAAAATATAATCGTGCCTTATAAGGAGGATATATATATATGTATGTGTGTGTATATATACTTTGGGGTAGGTTGCTTGGTGTATAATCAGCTATATTTATATATGTACGTGTGTGGTTGTGTATTGGTGCATTTAAAGGACAACATTATTTACTAGGTCAGTTCCAAAGGAAGGAACTTTATGAGAGAAAAAAAATACACAGTGTATCCTTCAAAAATTTAGAACTAAGCCAAGTTGGTTGACTGACTAGAGACTTTATTTGATTTTTTTTTTTTTTTCAACTACATTACATTAGCCATTAAAGTCCATTAGACTGGCTGACTAAGAGAGAAGAGTGCCCACTACCTAAGTGAAAAGTATGTTTGTTTGTGTGTGTGCTGTGTTGTAAATAGACTACAAAGTGTATACTTGGATACGCTCCCATGCCCCCCAAGGAGATATACAAACACATATTACTAGTAATAATAACCCACCACACATTAATCGGTCATAAAGGTTGACGGATCGCTTGGTTGGTTGTATAATAATTTACTGGACAATAACCCGGGGGATATGGGGGGATTTGTATACATGTTGTTGTTGCCTACACACAAAAATATACACAGAGGAGATTTTAAACTCACTTTTAAAACATAACAAAAAAAAAAGAATAACAAATAATAAACATAAAACAAATACAAAAACACAAACAACAAGAAAATACCAATATCATGGAGTGGATTGTCAGAGACTGGTTGGAGGTTGGGTAGGTAGGTGTATGTTAGTGGGAGAAAACAAAAACATTACAAAAAAGATAACAGAAAATATAAATAAACCCCAATAGGATTTTTAACAATGAAAGAAGGGGTTGGGTAACTTGGAGTTTGGGGATTTTGGGGTATAAAGGGAGCAGGTCCATAACGCGTCTTGGGAAACCCTACATAAACCCTCTTGTGTCATATTCATCCGTTGCATTACCGATTGTATGTTAAAAAAAGGGTGCGATCTTTGAGTGTAATAATTTTTTTCAGCTTGGGAGTGGAGGTGTACAGTAAAGTCCAAGCACCAGAGGGTTCTGCAAATACCTTCTCTTCGGGTATTTTAAGTATTACGTGAAGGTGTAAATAGCTCCAAGAACTTAGTTGACATTTAAATACCGGCAGGAAACAAAAAAAAAAGTTAAACCAAAGTAAAATAAAAAAGGAAAACCAAAAAATCCATTTGACGACATGTGTTTGTGTTAGTTTAGTTGTTGATAGAACAGTTATAGGTGTGGTAGTTTTGGGGTGTAATAATAAGTACAAATTAGCGTGGATTGTCTCTGTACATTTTTGCTGGTTGGTTGAAAATAAAAAATGTAATTTAATCCGCTGTTTTGTTGTTTTTACTTCATACAGGGAACCAAGTGGTAAATCACACAGTTATTTATTAGAGAAGTAATTATATTTATTTGTAAAAAAAAGTTTGAATTTTTACACGCAATGGGCGACTTCATTGTAACATAGTTTAATTATGAAGCCTAAAAGTATGCAGCAGATTTCTAAATAAGTCCTATACAAAGTCGCTAAACTCTCTTCCGTTAATAAATTCACTTTTTAGAATTGAATAGCTGACCTATGGTACATTTAAAGGAAAAATATATTTTTAAGAAAACATCTGGAGGTTATACACTCTTTGGTCAACTTTATATGGGCAAACATGAGACTAGACAAAAATTTCCTTAGTAAGACTTTTTGTTTTTTTTTTATAAATCACTATTTTCGATAAGATATTATATAAGGTCTTACATTAGATTACACCCAGGGTTACCAAAAAAATATAATTTTTGAGCTTATATAGGAAGATTTTTTTGTCTTCCACAATAGTAAATTTTTCTGGTTTGTTGCTCATCATCGATTTAATCTCTTTAGATCTCTTATATATTTGGTGTTCTTTATATAGGACATCAATTAGGTAGACATTAATGTATTTTGATAACCATATATGACCATATATGGGGAAGTTGTCAAGGTCGGTCTTGAGATTGTATCCTCAGTGTCGTAAAAATTCAATAAATGGATTATTAGAATATATATTCTTTATAGAAATGTTAACCAATTTGATATTTAAAATGCGAATTATTTTTGAGAAGTGAACAGATAAATTTCATGTTTGGATTAAAAAAATGGCTTGTTCTGGAAGAGACGAATATACATACGGCCGTTTAGGTGCATACATTGAAAACTTACCAATTTAAAAGAGATAGATATTAAAGGAGATAGATATTAGAAGAATACATTCAGGGAACTAAATATTTTAATTCTTGTTCGAAGTCTACTAAATGCAGCAGTCTAAATGTCATCAATAGAGAAAAGTGATTATTCTATAGATAGAATACCTTCATTGGGGCATTAATTTAAGGAATATATTTTTTTGAAATTTGTTTTCATCGGCCATAAGTAGACAGAAGGCCTTCGAAAGGCTGCCTATAAACAGAATGACTGAAGACCTTTTGGAAACCTTTAATAGGGTCAGAAAAACTTTTCAAAATCAGATAGAGGTCAAATAGTCTCTCTAAATGTGATCAATAGACAGAAGGCCCTCGAAAGAACAGAAACCCTTTTCAAAAGACCGTCCTATGATATTTTTTACAGACAAAATACCTCTTAGAAAGCTCACATAGACAAAGGACATTTTGAGAAAATCCATTTGGCGGATTTTAAAGATAAAATACCTCGATTTGAATCTCCAAAACTCTATATATGAATCCTTTGTTGAAGTAGGAAATTCACGTGGTCTACTATAAATAGAAGACTTTTAAATGATTCAATCCTCCCATATATAGAAGACGATTAAAAAAAACAAGTAAAATAGTGTCAGTCATCTTTGGATTTGATCTAGGCTTGGTAAAAAAAGCAGGTTATGCAAAGTTTGGTTCAAACTTTCTGACACTCTGTGCGAGAGGTACCAGAAGGAGTGAATCAATGGGTTCCATCTTACTACTTGATCTCGGCTTGGTAAGGATAATAGGTTGTACAAAGTTTCATTGAAATCGGATATTCCGTTTGCATGTTATAAAATTTTGACCATTTTGTGGGGGAGGTACCAGAAGGAGTGGACCAATGGGTCCCATTTTCCTATTTCATCTCGGGTTGGTAAAGACAATACGCTGTGCAAAATTTGGTTCAAATCGGACATTCGATTAGCCTGATTTTGGATTTATAAATATTAAAGATTTTTACCCTTTGTGGGAGAGGTACCAGAAGGAGTGGACCAATGGATCCCATCTTCAAACTTGATCTAGGCTTGGCAAAGGTAATAGGTTGTACAAAGTTTCGTTAAAATCGGATAGTCCGTTTGCATGTTATTATAAAATTAATTTTTAGCCAAATTTTGACCATTTTGAGGTGGAGGTACCAAAAGGAGTGGACCGACCTTCCCCATCTTCGAAACTTAACTGTGCGCACCAGCCAGCCAGCCAGACAGACAGGCAGACGGACAACGGACGGACGGACATGTGTAAATTGATTGCAAATTTTCTGAAACAGATTTGGTCCAAAGAAACATGGGGTCTATAAACCAATATTTCGATGAGGCACATTTTCACCGTATCAAAGTGTATATACCCTCATAAGCCATAAGGCTGAGGGTATAAAAAATTCTGCAGACATGGGACATTCGAATGGGACTTCTAAAGTCATATAGGCCTTCTAAATGTTTTCCAAGGGAGTAATAACTTCAAGCAGTTCTTAATTTATAGTGAAAGTAGTGATATATTTTTAAAGATTATTTTATATGCTGACATCTAAGAGAAAAAATGTGATGACGGTCTTTGCAGCCTAAAAATAGTCTATAAATATTGTAAGGTTAATATTAAATGAAATCAATAAAATAAAAAATCTTTAAATAATTTAATAATATTGAAGCTTCCTCGAATCCTATACTGACAGAAGACATTCTATGGGTCTTAAAAAAAATAATAGGAGACTTTCTAGCAACGAAATATCTTCCATAGACAGAAGTCATTCTACAAACAAAAAACCTTCTCGTGGCCATCCTCCAATGGCTTGTATAGGCAAAAAAATCACTTAAAAGGTCTTAGAGATTCCAAGAGGAGAACAATCTGCAAGAATAATTTCAATAGGACATTTACTAACTTAGTTAAAACTTAGCCTGTACGGAATATTGATGTCCTCTTTGGCGCCTAAAAGTATGCTATAAATATTGAGTGGCTATATAAGCAATGGTCTTATTACGCCTATCCATACTTGACAAACATATTCTCTAAAGGTATAGATAGTAAACCGAAATGATCCTATTGACGAACGACTTTCTAAAGTTATTCATTCTATAGGCAGGCAGAAGACATTCGCAAGGTCTAAACGCAAAAATTCTAAAAAATCTTTATTTGAAGGAGAAGAGTCTAAGTATCTTACATGGGCATATGACGTTAGGTCCTACTTTTATAGACAGAAAGACTTCTAAAGCCCTCCTTCTACCTTAGTACAGAAATCGAGAATCGATATATAAGAAAGATTGAAATTTCAAGTCTTCATGAGGACCTTCAGAAGGTTTATTGGTCTTTTCTTATTTTGAAACCGAATGGTCTGCACCCCCAAAGAAATTTTGATGGTGTTATGTTTTATTAGAAGTATTTGTGGTCCTCAATAATTTTGTTTTTGTAATAATAACTGTATTTTCCTTTTACCACTTGGTGTCCCTTCGTTGTAAATTTCCGATGCTCCAATATTTTAGTTTCACTCTGTACAATATTTGATGTGGTTTTGTTGTTTCATTAGAGAGAGACACTTTTGTTTGCTTCTTGTTTTTATGTTATACCTGATATATCAGATGATTCAGCATCGACATCTAGAGAACAGCTGCCAATAGAATCCATACTTCGATCCATAACGTTTTCTTTACACACTGGGAGGGTTAGATAGGTGGTGTTAGGTGTGCAACAATGTTGTAGTATATTTGATTGGGGTTTTTGAAACACTTGAAAATTTCGTTTTCGATTTTTTTTTCGAAGAAAACCGATCTACAATGTAAACAACTCCGGTACGTCTGCTGCTTCGTCCGCTGACTGCTCCACGACTTCTTGTCGTTTATTTATTCACCGTAGTAGATCTCAGTGATGCGTGTGTGAGTGGGTGGATGGTTCGTTGGTTGGTTAAGTTGCATTTGGATTACGTCGTTCCAAGAAAAACTGTTAGAGGTAACCACCATTCACCACCATCAACGGGAAGGCGTTCAATTCAAATGGATCGGATTGTTGTTGTCGTTATAAAAATTTTGAGATGTGGAGGAGTTGTAGTAACACAGTTCGTGGTAGTTGGTGTTGTTGTTGATGGTCGTTTGGTCGGACGATTGGTTGGTTGTTTGTTGGGTTGATTGGAGAATAAAACACAAAAATATTATCAAAGACAAACACACAAACACAGACACAAAATAAACAAGCACAAGAAGAAGAAGAAGAAACATACAAATACGAGATAATGATAAAAAATAGATATATAAATAAAATTGAAGTTTTCTATCTAATTTTTTATAATTACTAATTAATTGAGAGAAATGGCATAGCCATACAATAAATTGTCAAAAGGGCAACAAGGCAGAGGAAAAGTAGTAAAAATTACAACAACAACAACAGAAAACTCATAAACAACACAAGTCAAGCGAGCAAAATGATCAGATAAAAAAAAACGAGAAAATAAATTAAGAAATCAAACGGAAATAAAACAAATTATAACAAAACGAATTATCGAAAAAAATGAAAACAAACAAAAAATAAAAAAAAAACTATTTACAACAAAACAAATTATAGGAAGAACAAAATTGACATGGGGTTAGTAGAAAAATAAAAAAAATATCAAAATAAAACAAAAAAAGGCTGGTGGGAAGGCACTCCATTCATTTATGATTTCTTATCAATAATCAGCAGCACGCAGGCAGGCATGCAAGGCTTGTAAGAAAAACAAAAAGAAAACAAACAGCGGGAAAGCGCAGCAGTCGTAGAGAAGAACGACAACAACAAAAAACGAAGAAAAAGTTCATACAAAAAAAAGAAAAGAAACTTAATTTAAATCAATCATCGTTTACAAAGTTGTTGAACAAAATATAACTGCTGTGCGAGTGATGTTTGCGCGGAGGATTAATAGCTACAAATCACGTTATAACTTCGGAAAAAAAGAAAACTAGTAACAACAAAAATAAAGACAACACAATTTATGGATAATAGATGTGCTAAAAAGGATATTTGTGATTTGATACAATATATGAAACATAGGCGGTTTTAATATAATGGTCTTTAATTGACAGCAGATCTTCTCAAGGACTTCTATTAAAAGAGGACATCAGTAGAATGTCGTTTAACGGCAATTTATAAACAAAATACATTAAAACAGAATTCTAAAGACAGAAAATGATCCCTTGTTATTATTCTTTAGACAACAGGTTTTCTACGACCAGAAGCCCACCTCTACGGGTACTAGACCTTCGAAGAACTTGTATTGGCAGAAGAACTTCTATGGGCAAAATACGTTTTGTCATTCTTCTTTAGACATCCGTTTTTCTACGGACAGAAGTTCTTATGACACTTTGCTATACACAGAAGGTGTTCTAAACGTTTTCAAATGACAGAAGGCCTTCTGTGAACAGAAGGACTTCTATGGATAAAATATATTTTAAAAATCTTACATGGGCCGGAGGCCTTCTATGAAGAAAATACGTTTTGTCATTCTTCTTTAGACATCCGCTCTTCTACGGACAGAAGTCCTTATGGCACTTTTCTATACACATAAGGTCTTCCAAACGTTTTCGGCCTTCTGTGAACAGAAGGACTTTAAATGACAGAAGGCCTTCTGTGAACAGAAGGATTTCTATTGATAAAATACCTTACATTCGCCGGAGGCTTTTAAAAGTTTTCTATGGGCACAAGGCTTTCTATGAAGAAAATGAAGAAGACCTCCCAAAGGACTTCTTTAGCCAGGGCAAAATAGGTTTTGTCATTCTTCTTTAGACATCCGTTTTTCTACGGACAGAAGTTCTTATGACACTTTGCTATACACAGAAGGCCTTCTAAACGTTTTTAAATGGCAGAAGGCCTTTTGTGAACAGAAGGACTACTTCTATGGATAAAATATTTTATAAAAAAGTCTTCTATGGACAGAAGACCTTCTATGAGCATAATGGTATGGGCAGACGGCCTTGGGTTTTCTTCTATAGGCAAAAGACCTTTTATAGGCCCTTCATTAACAGAAAATCTTAAAAAGATAGGCGTACTTGGATTTGGAAAAATTAAAAAAAATAGAGTTCTGTGAATTATTGAAAAAATATTTGTATACCCTACACAACTATGTTGTCAGGGTATTATAGCTTTGCGCAGTCCCAAGAGTTTGTAACGCCGCGAAATATTGGTACCTATCGTCATATCTTGACTAGCTGAGTCGATCTAGACATGTGTGTCCGTCCGTCGCCCATTATAATTTGTAATACAAGCCACAGTTATGGGCCAATCTACACGAAATTTTGAATGTAGGCTAGGTTCTGCCCAAAATAGACCCCTATTGTTTTTGGTAATGATCGGTTGATGTTTAGATGAAATGACCAAATACTTAATTTTTGTCGTTTTTTATGGTTGCTCCATATACCGCAATTATGGTCTAAACATGTAAGGGGATTGGGCCAAAGAATAATCATGCTTATTTTGATAAAGATCGGTCATTATTTAACGCGTGAAATGGTATCAATTTAAAGGTAAGCCTTTAAATTGATGCCAATTATACCGTCGTATGAACTCGGATGTGGAAGTTACACTTAAATATTTACAGGTACTTATGTATTCAGATATTATTTAGTAACCCATTACCACACTGAAGGGCGGAAATATAGCGCTGAACATTTTGAAATGTTCCATAAGGTTCCAGTTATGGTCAAGGACAACGCCAGTAATTTTTGGTGATGATCAGATAATAAGTTTGGAAAGTGGACCGAAAACTTAATTTTTTGTGTTTTTTTTTTCGAGTCGATCTATGGGCCACAATTATAAGCCATACATCACAACACAACCCACGGCGAAGGGAATATGGACAAGTAATTATAACTGAATATTAGTAATATTCGGAAAATATGTCAGTGTAAGGAAGAGGTGCTGTTGACCTCTAATACGGCAAGAGGTTGGAACTACCACGAAATATTGCGCAGGCACGGAATAAAAATTCGCATAAAGTTAGAGTTCCGTGGTAGTTGTGTTGGGTATGGTATGGTCGGCCCCGTCCGACTATACTGCTCCGCTCACTGTTTTATTTTTTTTTTTTCATACAAATTTACTTTCCTGCTGTCTATGGTCATAGTCTATATATGAAATATAAAACGTTACGATCATCATCATATCGTTTTTTTTAATATAGCGCTCATTCGTGAATTGTTTTCAACACGCAAATGGCAAACAGAAATGGTAACAATTGTTGTGTTGATTTTGTTTTGTTTTACATTTTAATTATTCCGTTTATTATTTTTTTTTCTCTGGAATGAAAAAAAATCAGTATTTTTAATTAGAAAAATCTTACGTAATTGTTTGTCAGTTCCATAATGGAATTTCAAACCTATTTGGTTTAAGCTAGCACTTTATTTGAATTTTCGTTCAAAGGTGGCCCAAAGAAGCTTCAACTTGGGGAAATTTGAAACCAGAAAACGAAATTTAGTTTTATAATTTCCATATTCTATTCGAGGTATTTACCTCCGGATGGATGGATTCTTAATTGCTGGAATTCATTGAAATGTATTTAGGTTCTAATTTAAACTGATTTAATTACATTATAAATTTCACAACAAACTAAATACCCAGTGAGAGAGAGTTCATCATTCACAAAATTAGATAAAAAATTTTCAAAAGCGCACAACGGACAGATAGATTTCTAAACAAATTAAAATCAATACGTGCTGTGAATATTTTGCTTAATTAGAATTACTTTCAACAGAATTAAATAAAAAAAAGGTTTCGCCAAAATAACATATTGTTTCTCCAACAAAAAAAAAAAATCTCAAGAAAAAAAGAGGTGAAGTTAATTGCGCATTTTTAACAACAACAAAAATAAATAAAAAATAAACACCATCTGGTGAAAGTGTCTAGAAAACCCCCATTCTCTCCTCTCTCGGTACAAGTTTAGAATATGAAAATAAATCACTGCTGCAATTAAAATTCTTTGCAGCTATTGAAAAAATAGAACTGGAACATTTTTAATTAGATTAATGTTGAATTTCTTACCATTTCATTTGCATTTCGATAAAAACAAACTGTTTGGAATTTTGTTTGCAAAAATAAATCCAACTTTGTTATTTACAGACCAGACACTAAGCCGCCCATGAATGATAGCAGCAAGTTCCCTCATTAAAAATATCAGTTTTTCGTGTTTATGCCTAAGTTCCAATATTATTAGAATTGATTAGAATTCAAAGTAAATATTTATATACAACATGTGTAAATATAACACATGGTCAGATAATGAAACTTGTTTATGGAGGAAAATATGAATATTTATTTAGAAGTTAACAAAAAAAAAATAAATTGGTCCTTGAAAAGTTAAAAAAAAGAACTAAAACCAGTGGTCCTGTATTTTTTTTTATTAAAACTCAAAACAAAATTCATAATTAAAAAAATTAAATATGAAACAAAAACTATTAAGGATTTAAGGATTTACACAAGGCATGGATTTTTAAAAAAAATATATTTTTAGGATTTGCACAAGGTTTTATAAAAATATTTTTTTAAGGAGCCACACAAGGCGTGGATTTGTTATGAATTTTTGAAAAATATTATTTAATTCTTGTGTTTGTTAGAAAAAAATAATTCCAAGCTATTGGTTATTATACGGTATTGTTTTTGCTTATTTTATAAATAAAACCAGT